GCTCTTCAAAATCCTTAATGAGACACCTACGACAGAGAAAGAGTGGTCTCATAGCAATGATGTTCTTTCATTACAGCATGATTCGACCTGGCTTACTGTGCGGTTATTATTGTACAGTTGGTTTCTTTTTTCCACAAATTTCAGTTCCTGAGTATACAAAGAGACTACATTCACTTTTCCTTTACACTGCAATAAATCTGGCACAAGATACTTAACTAAGTGAATTCACTCTACAACTACACTAGTATAAAGTTTACGAATTTGAGACAGTCAACGTTTTTCAATTTTTTTTTTTAACATTTGAACTAGTTTACTAGTTACTATATATAAATATATAGTATATATTTATATATACTATGAATGGCATTGCATCGTCTATCTGCTGTACTCTTAATATGCATTAAACATAACCTAAGACCAACAGGCACTACCTCATTCACTTAAATTTTCTAGCAATTCTCCAATGAGCATTTTGAACAAGAACTGTAGAATATAGCCTGATGAAAAACACAAGTGAAATCTGTGATGCCATGCTAGCCAGAACAATTTGAAACAGAGCTTTGTTCTGTTTTAAAATGAATGTTTCAGCTAGATCTTATATACTGTGATGATAAGTGGTAGTATGAGAATCACAGAAAATTCTGCAAGCCCACATAATTCAGGCTGGAACAGAAATAAATGAGTAAGATTTAAATGCTGGGCAGGGTAACAAAGTTCTGTCTGTGACAGGAACAGGTGATCTAGTAATGAATAAAAAGATACATCCTATTTATTAGCATAAAATAAAGTGCCATGCTAATTTGTATAATCAAGATTTAAAATTGAGGAAGCCATGATTAAAGTATAATTATTTTCTGTACAATAAAGCTGAAATAATATAGTCCAAACAGAAAAGCGATTCAATGGGATCAGAATTCTTCAGCGTGCTAATTCCTCTTCATATTAAATTATTTTGTTTATCTTGCTCAAATAATAGTGACATTATTTGAAAACATGAAAAAGAAAAGGTGCAATTCAGTATACATCTCCCTTCATTTTACAGTCCAAGATGAGTTTATCTGATGACATACATTCATATTAGCATACCTCACAATTACATTTCATATTTGCTGGTATTAAGTGACACAGTTATTGTATGCATACACATAAAGGGCTTCCTTAACATGGGAACACACATCACACACAAAGATTATCTTTTTCCCCAAAGGTTCAGCAAAACTTTAATGCCTTTTAGAGAAATTGATATGCTGGCAGTATCAATAGCAATTTGCAGACTTTAAATTGTATCTAAAATATCATACACATTCATTGATTTCAAAAATTATCAAACACCTTAGCAACAATTAAAATGCAGCCTCACCTCAAATACTTTACTGAAGGCTAAAGTCTGGTCTTAAAATGATCCTGCAATGTCTCTGGACATAACTTTAATACTTTAGGTTCTTGAAAACCATTTTCCCAGCCTCTTCTTGCTACATCACATCCAGAAAAGACAGTCTGTAAAATGTGCTGTTGGTTTTATAACTGTTATGGTGAATTTTGCTATCAATTAGAACTGGAGCCTCCTGACAGAAAAATTAAACTAACAGAACCTGCATTATCTCCATTCCTGTGAGTGCAAGGCTATAAATACCACTCCTGCCCTCCCATGAAAAGAAATCCATCATTAGCCTTTAGCAGATTCTGAGCCTCCCCCCTTTTTGTTTTGTTACCCATGTATTTTAAAAGTCAATACACCCACACAGACACTATGGTCCATGCCAATCTTGGTTAAATTTATAAGTTTCCTGAGAAAAAGGAAAAAGCATGTGAAAGGAAAGAGACCATTTATCTGAAAGGGAGAGGAAAAAAAATAAAAAACCGTGCAGTATACAAAAACATGGATTGATGGCAAGTGTCTCAAATGGGGATTTCATTCTGAAAAGCTCATAACTCATGTGATTTTTACCATTCTAACAGTAATTAAAAATCTGTATCATGTATGCTACATTGTTAACATATAACTATTCCTGTTACTTTTGAATACTTCTGGAATATTACAGTAACGTAACTGAATCCAAATGAAGATACGTCATGCCAGCTACTTTTTAGATAATAAAAACATTAGGTTTTGAATGGAATGCGTATGAGAAATTACACAGTTCCACACATAAGAGCCCTGTTTACCTAAAGTGCTAAGAACATGAAAATCTTTTACCCTACGGTATGCAGATATTAAAATAAATTTGGAGGACCAGTGGGCCTCCAAAGATACTCTGCTGACAAGATCCAAAAGTTACAGCAGATATGGCTTTATACAGAGATGTTCCATCCAAACAAAACAAATGTCCAGGATACCGAATTCATTGAGAAATTCTAACAAGACGAAAAGGAAGGATCACTTTTTAGGGAAAACATTCTTCTGGCTTCTCCATTATGTACTGAAATGCAAGCTGTTTGGGACTGGCATGTATTTAATGGGCATAGGTAAGTTCTGTCAGGGAGAAGGCATTGAAGACTGCCTGAGGATTCCCTTCTGTTGCTTACTCTTGTCAATCCCCTGCTGTCTGTTCGCTTCCCATGCATGCTACTCAGCTTTGCAGCTCCCAAAGAAGCTTATATATCGTTTCATCCATATGCGACCTTCGTTCTCGGGCAACTTCGTGAATTCATTAGACACCAAAGCTAATGACACACAAGGCATCTACGCAATTCTGCGATCAAACTCTCAGTTCCAAGCTCAAGAGTCTACCTGCTATCATGCCAAGTTCGCGTCTGTACCTGAAGAATTGAGCCCTTTCAGATGGTTACTCAGATGCCATAACACAGCAGAGAGCCAGCAACTAACAGCTAAGCAAGGGTGAGGAACAGGTTCTTAAATTCACATCTGTAACTTCTTGTGTGAGTGCTTCTACTCCATTTCAGGGAAGAGACAGATAGAGGAATGTAAACCTCCACTAAAGTTAGTTTAATCCTCCCAGTTAAATGGCAAGTTCCTAGCACATTAGGAAGACAGCAGCAGAGAGATAAAGCAGGCCATAGGGAAGGAAAGTGTATACAGATTCATACTCTCCTTTTTGCCCTGAAACAGAGCAGAAGCGTTGACACAGTCAATTATATACATTATTCCTTATTATGTCTCAAGGCCAGTCACCAGCTCCCCGTTTAGTCACAATACTTGACTAACTGTCTCTCGGCTCAGTGCACACTTAGACATTCAACACCACTTTGGTGTATCAGCAGGTCTGCTGAGACGAAGCGCAGGACGGAAAGCTCTGTCACGCGATACTGGAAAGATAGCCTTTATGTTTCTCCTTTTGATAAATATTCCTTTGTCCTATTTCTTCTCTATGTAGACAAGTATTCCAAGGAATACTCTGCTTCTATACACGGCCACTTCAACTGAACTGTGCTGCTCTTAATGCCACACTGAACGCATGCTCCTGTTCCTAGCTAATGTTACATGTAAAACAACAATTCTTGGACCACTATCCATGCGCTAGTGAAAAAAGTATCAGGCTGCCAGTATCACCATAGACATTTAGTAAGGTATCATCTTCTCCACTGGAAGCAGTGTTAACACTATGTTGTTCCTCAGAAAAAGTTAATTTCATATAGAGTATCAATGTTGAGTCCAGCCAGAGCAGCAGGAGAGCGTGCTCACCCAATCAGAAGCTGACTTCATTAATTTTCAGTGGGGATTCACTTCCTGTTATTGGTGCTAAAGCCTCCATGAACATGGGCACTGTTATAGTTTTTCCTACTGCACCCTGAAATAGGAAAATAATGTGTGAAAAAATAAATAGTAAGGGTATCTGAGCCCAAAGCTGCCATAGCTAATCAACATATTCAATCAGGAGATATATTACAGATAAAGCCCCGGGGGAAAAAACAAAAACAAACAAAAAAAAATAAAACAAGAAGCAGCAGTAACATATGACTTTGAAATCCAGTGCTATTATAGTTAAAAGAAGAGTGTAGTAGCAAAACAGTGCTTGTAATGTCACTTACCAGAAAGTATTCAGTGTGGCAAACATAAATCAAAGTGTGCGCTGTGCAAGTGAAAAGATATTAAAAAGTTACATCACTGAATGATTTACTTCAGAGGAAAGGAGGAAACAAAAATATCTTCAGATGCTCATCTGAACACTCATTTAAGACCAACCTGGACAGTTAGATTAGGCACTGTCAAACATCAAGCATGCGGTAATTATATATAAAAATAACAAATGTAGTGCACCTGCAAATTAAGCCAAATTGTTTGGCCCACGGAAAATATATAAAAAGAAACTCAAGTGGTGAGATTGTCCTGCACTCATCAAATTGACTAAAAAATCTATTACAAGATGGATTTCACATGAGGTATGATGAAAATATGGTCATATTTGGTCTTTTATTTTTTGTATCTAAAATAACGTGAAGGCTAAGCAAGTAGAGAATGAAAAAGAAACAAACATTCGACATGTTGGCCTTGATGAAAGTCAATCCAATACCTAATTTGAAATTCTAGTAGCTTCCATCATGCTTTCTTAGCTGAAAATTAATTCTCAGAATTCATTAGTGTCACTACATTAAACATAGGTTGCAGCCATTTGCTGCAATCTCACAGCTAGGCTCCTAAGCACCATTTCCATTCTGCCACAATTACAGGCAAAGATGAAGCATTTATTAGCAGGGGATAAAAACAGACTCCCATACACACAGGCCCGTCTGCGACAGCCTCTAAAAATTCACCGGCTGCTTGCACTTGGATGATAACATTGTCGGAATTGCTATGTCTCAGCAATGTAAACTGCCATTTTGCAAGCGGCAAATCAGATGACTGAAAGGGGAGCTATTTATCAGCATTCGTGAGCTAATATTTACTAATGAATACATGGAAAGAAATAGATTTCATAAAAACTGCAATGGTGGTCTAAATCTCCTGTGTGTTCAGAAACAGAAAACAATTACTAATGTAATTCATTATTGCAGCCAAACCTAAGTAGAGCAGCAGTAGTATTTCTTTTAGAAATTATCTTTCATCATATCCACTATGATCCTTTTG